TTTGTATTGAAATAAGAAGTGAGCCTCTACATTGATTGTTAAAAAAGAATAAAATATTTATATTAGCTTTTTATAAAATATAATAAAAATTAAATAATTGCTTTGATAAAAATTCGATTAAGAATAAATAAATTAATAATTAATAAATTTCGATTAAGAAAGAAATAAATTTAAGAAATTAAAGAAATTTTAAAGGCTGGGAAATAAGTAATGCCTATTGAGGCTTCACAGGCATCAAAAAACTAACATTTTAGATTCTAAATTACTCATAACTATTGAAAGCATCAAGGTCTCTAACACTGGCATTAATATACTAGTTAAAAACATGTATAAATATTTCTTGTTTGACCTACTTCAAATGTTTAAATTCTTGGAACATTTCCATTTATAGTTCCTGTTTCTGATGCAAATATCATTCTAATTAAACAAGTGTCCTCCAAATATTCTAACTTGCTTTAAGTGATTATTCTTCTACAAAATTGCACGCCAACTGGCATATAGCCATTGGCGTAACAATTTAAAAAGGATTTTCATAGGGTGATATTTTTTAGATACAAAGTTGATTTATTATTCAGAATATGGCTTATAAATAACTCGTAAAATTGTCTTCGGATATGCAAAAAATACACTTTGATAGAAAAAAGTACCATTACGCAGTACCATTAACGCTCATTAATTAAGAGATAAAAATTTACAGTGAAACCTTGCATCAAAACTACAACACGCAATTCAAACTTTTAAAGGTAAGCATGCTAAAATAAAGTCATCTTGATCTATGCGGTAAAGAAACGTGAAGCAAGTATTAAAAAGAAACATACATAAAAACAGTTAATATACAAGAATATATTTGCAAGCAGTAGTTCATTTTATGGTTTACTTGGGTAAGAAAAAAAACTTAATGATTGAAAAGAAGAGAAAAATGCGTCCTGCTAAAATAACGACATTTTGTGTTAAAATCCAATATATCTGCCATGTTTATATATAATTAGGGACATAAGATGCTGCATACAAATCATGAATTTGTGAATGGTACATGATTCACACATCCGTGCTGTCTTTTGGAGATTTCCTCTTCTTTGTCATCTACTTTTTTTGGTAAAATCCTAGAATAACCCACCTCTTGGCGACTTTTTGAAATCTCGGCGAATTGGCTGTTATTTCTGTAGATAATCAATAAAGTTGAAAATTCCCTCGTTCATTCGCTTCCCATTTTCCACATAAAAAAATTTAAAAATGAAATTATAACGGTAATAAATGAAACTAGTGGACTGCGCCCCCATGCTCGCTAACGCTCACCAACCCCCAAAAATTGCTACGCAATCCTATATGGTTTGCTTCGATCGCTACTAACTTAGGTACATTGTAATATACACAAAATTCTAAGAATTCAAAACAATCATTCAAATCCATAGAACAACTTTTTTTTAAAAAAAAAATTACATCTTTTTAGTAAATACTACTAGTAAGTCATTAAAATAAATTTGAATTCAAATAAATGTCATGTAATTCGCTTAACCTATTAGAAATGTGCTGTAGCATAAAATCTTAAAGCGTAACAGCATTTTTCAATGAATAATTAATAACAATGATAAAACAAATAAATTCGTGATATAAATCAAAAATTGTCAAATAAATTCGTAATATATAAATTCGTGAAAAAAAGCGCTTTCGACGAAATACTGAAATAGAGATCTATCGACAAAGACTACTCACTTCTGCCTAGTTTAATAGATTGCCGCAGCTGATAGGGTGAATTTCGGAAGAGATCACATTTGATGAGAATGCTATCTCTGGTTATTTCCGTTTCCGTTTTTAAAAGCGCTCTATGTTGAGCCACCTCAGCTAGATTTGGCATGCGACATTTTTAGCGGCAATCATTGGTCAATTTTCTAGCGTTGCCATTCGGGGAGTTGTAATGAGGTTTTTTTTGTTGCCGTGTAAGAGAAATATATATATAGATTACGGTGAAAAAATGAAATAATAACGATGATTCTAACAGCAAGAAATCAGAAGCGTAAACGGCAAAAAAATTAACCCTTTTACCTCTTTTCTAACAAAATCCAACTTTCGCGTAGGTATACATATCAAATAACCAATCAGATTTAAGAATTTTGGTGGTGTGATCGGACGTTCAAAATTATCTCCCCGATAAAGTTCCGGAAACCTAGTTTGGAGAGATTTCCAAAACCTGCTTGGCGAGATTTGAAAAAAATCACCACTGGATGGGCTGTTCTCGAATCTACCGCTTTTTTCATTTTATTATATCGCTCAAGATACTTGGGATCCTAGCAAAGGAAACAAACACTGATTTCGTGTCATGTTCTCAGAAGAGTAAAAATTTAATTTGAATATCCCAGACAGTTACTTGTGTGATAAGGTTTCGATTATGATAGTAAACTTAACTTGTTTTTTTCCACAACCGGTATTTTCACAAGCTTAACTTGTTGCTAAGTAACTACTGGTGACCAAGGAGCTCAAGAAACCCATTTACCTACATTTTCAAAATGAACTCATAGCCCAAGCTGGATATTTCATCAGGACAACACCTTCATTAATGTTACAAAATCTTTATAAGGATAGCTTTTGATAATAGCGTGCATGTTGTAGAATGACTCTTTTTCCTTGATCACATTTCACCAGAAATTTTGTGAGGGTAACAATAATAGGATTGTATGTATTATGAGGGCTGTTTTTTTAAATAAGGGCCACTCGAAAATAAAAACCAAACGAAAGAAAATTTTTAAGAAGCAAATTCATTTTTTGATTCCACTTACGTTTCTTTTTTTTCTTTTTTTGTCACAGCCGCTGTGGCTCAGGGGATAGAGCACTCGCCTCCCAATGAGGTGATCTAGGTTCAATCCCAGCATCGGCTGGTTGATTCGAATTCTGCCGCGGCTGGCATCTACCACGGTGATTTCGTAAAATATCCTCAGTGGTGGACGGATCATGGGTTAGAGTCCCTTTGCCGTCAGGCTAACCGTGGGAGGTTCTCGTGGTCATCCTCTCCTTGTAACGCAAATGCGGGTTAGCTCCATCAAAAAGTCCTCCACGAAGGCGAATTTCTCCCACTACTTGATCCAGGAGCTCCCTTGTCTTCTGGATTGGGTTCAAAATTACAAGGCTACGAAGTTGAGCACTAGTAGTCGTAAACCCAAAAGCTGGGTCTGCTGTTCAACGACGGTTTTGAAATTCTAAAATAAAATACTTGTCAAGTTTGCTTAAACTTGAACTAGATTTAGAATATCCTCTTCATAATAACTTGCCGCCTGCTCCGATAACCATGAGGTCACGACCGTTTTCACGTCTTAGTCATCGCTGTGATGGTTACCGCCAAAATGATCTCTGACACATCGGAAAAGATCAAAATCACTTAGCGCATGGTCTGGGCTGTATTGAGGGGTGGTCCAAAACTTCCCAGCCAAAAGAGTCCAATAAAGCTCGGGACTGAGCTGTGGAGAGAGCTATTGTCATGGACTTGCAAAATTTTCTGTCAGCACGCCAGTAGGAAGCTTCGCATATTTCACGAATCTGCCTGTGAATGTATGCAGCAGACAGCTTTTTGCTGACTAAAAACGCACCACTGACCGAACCTGATATGCGGCGGGCGATTTGTTAAACTTGAACATTTTAAAGACACAGAACTGACCGTACAGATAACTTACACAGCTGTAACTGAGCATAGTTGTTATCAAAGAATGCCAGGATACGACGCAAGCACTCGTTGAAACACGCGCGCCGCCTATTAGTGTACACAAGAAAACGGTTCTTACATATAAAACAACCCTCGTAATATTCACAGAGGCAGATAGGGCGAAAAGCATTCCTTGTCATCAGAGATTTTCAAAACAAATACTACAATCGATGGGGTATTATTGATGGCTGTTATTATCGAAACATGGGTCACTGTTACTTAAGTCTTATTAAAGAATATGCACCATCCTATATTCTAAACAATACATAAACAAGGCAGATATATTAATTGTTATCAGTAATGGGTTTATTTTAAATGAATACTTTTCTCAATTCTTTTGCGAATATCAATTCTTTCCCTCGCCTTGTTAGCCTCGCCATGGAAATTTGTTACTCATTGTAAATATGTATATAGATTTTTTAATATATAAGTTCTGTTTTTATTCATTTACTTCTTGTTCAGTCAAGAAACAAAATCAAGATGGCTTTATTTTAGTGAAATAAACCTTTATAAAATTTCTGCTTGTTACACTATTTTGATGAATTTGATCCGTAAAGTTTTTTTTATTGTTTTGCTGGAGAATTGGACTGTTAGATTTTCACATTTGGAACAAACTGGAAACTACAAGGAAATATAATATTTCAACTTCCCTAAGACAATCAAATTAAAATTTTTTTTAAATGTTTTTTATTTGAGAGAGGTTTATTTTCACCGTTTTCGAAAAGATTCTTCTGTTCTCAGGTTATAAACCGCCAATGTGGATAAAAAATATTATTCACAATGCTCATTTAAAAGATTTATATTTACTATATTTGTATAAGAAATAGTAATATCTTTTTATGTAAATTCTGACTCGACGACTTAACCCACTGACTGTTCAACACATAAAAATTTGTGTTTAAACCTGCAGACTTTTCCGCATAGCATAACCAGTTTTTCCATGTTATGAGATAGGGAAATAGTGTATAGGGGAGAAGCATTCTCTCAATTTTGTCCATTTGCTAAACCACCAGTGGGTTAAATACTTATCCGCAAAGTAAATATTTAATATATTACTTTTCACCACGACATTAAAATAACATCGTCCTACCAGTAACAACTTTATTATTTGTCACACTGACAAAAAGTAGTGAGACACTTGTATCTTAAGAAGAGTCAAAATAAACCGAAATATCTAGACGGTCAATGTACTGTCGTTTTGTTTACATTTATATCTTCCTAAACCTATGAAAAATGAAATATTTATTTCTCGAGGGGGTTCTTTTTTGGCGACAAAAGTAAGAGAAAAAAAGTGCCAGATTTTACTCACTTGGTATCCTGTTGATTGCTCGAAGAGGTCGTAGAACTCTCACTGTCCGAATTGCCGACAGATTGATGTTGCCCACATCCAGGCAATATTCCAGGGATCTAGGAAGAAGAGAAAAATAAGATTTAGAGTCCTGTTTGCGTGAAAAAGTTGGCGATTTATGGATGTCGTTAGGTGTTGAGTGGGTGAGAAAGTGCAGATCTTGGCCTAGTATTTTACGCTTGAAATAAGGAATTGAATCTTTGGGCGTCGGACTTCGGTTTTATGAGAAAATTGGTTTTCGATAGGAATAGTGTCATACATCTTGCAATATTGAGGAATTTTTTATTGCGAATTTTCAAAATATAGTTTGAGTTTTTTGATAAAAATATAGTATTTTGTCCCTTTTTTGATGTAGCATGAATAAAACATCACGGTTAAAAAATATAGTTTGGAACTTAATGGTTTTTAGTTAGTCTTAGTGTCGAATGTCTTTTTGGGGGTAGTGATATAAAAAAACTGTTAAAAAACACTACAGAAAAACGTTTTAAGCCATACTGTGAAAATTCTCTATATCTTGAGCTTTAAATCATGCTGTATGCTTCAGAAGAATATTAAAAGCTAAAAAGAAATAACATTTCAGAGCCAATCACAAAAGAACTTAACTTTAACTACTTACAAAACAGCCATTCAAAGCAAAGAACGCTTGTGTTCTATGTCCAAAATCAAAATATCAAAAATAATATTTAAATTAAACCATTTGTTTTCAGAATGTGCTATTTTATGGGTATTATTATACTCAGTAATTTTTTTTTTAATTGAGCTATTTTGCATTTTTAAAATTTTTTTTTGAAATTGTTTGAGAATTATTAGATATTTAAAATGATATTACATTTTAGAAGTAAATTCATTGTACAAAAAAATACTACTTAAGGACGACCGTTACGTCATCATCTCAACATATTTTTCTCATTTCATATACATTCTCAACATCTCAATAAAAGTTTCTTTTCATCCTTCTCACAATAAGTATTCATCAACTTTAAAACTAACCTATTAATTTTTGACCTAGATTTGAAAAGTATGCATTCTGCAATCCATATTATTCTAAGCCATATCTTTCCTTTCTTTCGTTTATTCTTTATAAATGTTGTGATTATATTTATAGTTCCAAATAAACAATATTTTTTTGTTTCATTTCAGTATAAATTATAAGCGGGAATTGAGTGAATTTATGTCTCGTAGAAACACTAATATAAAATTGCTTTGAGTTCTGTACTACTATAATACAAACAAACAATCAACTAATAGTTAAACTTATTACCACAATGGGGCGCTGCACGGTTTCGGTCGAGAAGTATTACCATTTTGTTGCACTTAGAAGAAAAAAATAAGCTGCTTCTTTGCATGTTTAAGTGTAAGAGTGGGATGATAGACTTTTATGTTTAGTATTTTCAGCTCCTTAAATAAGTTAAACCACATGATTAATAAAATTCAACCACATAATTCAGTTCCCAATATTTTTGTGACATAATAAAATTATCTATGCAGTTTAGAGATTATGAAAAATTCAAAATGGTAACTTGCGAACAAAAATAAAATTAATATTTTGAAAGTTGTCTTTTTTCCATGACCTCAGCAGATTTCAGAATAAAAATACTCGACAATTAAAATGGTATTAAGTTATGGTATTAATATAAGTAACTTCGTTATCCTGTTTAGCACTCTCAAGTGTTTTATTTTCATTTAATAGTTAAAAGAATTACCTAATCCCTTTAGTTTCTTTTTTTTAATCTGGCATTTGAATAAAATCTTTTGGAAATATGTTTTTTAGTCATTAAAGTCAATAATCTTATTAGTACAAGATCTCAAACATAACTCGAAATTTCCCTCTCAATTTTATTTGTTTTCTGAGGAAGTTAATTTTCTATTTTCAATTTTTTTCTATCTGATATTTTCTTTTAATGGAGTCTCTTCGTAATTAGGAAAGTTTAAGCACAACTTTTACAATCTTTATGACAAAATGATAAAAAAAAATGAATATAAGCAATAATTGAGATGTTGAATACGAATCATCGTTAAAAAGTGATTAAGGTGAGTGAAAAGTGATTAAGTGATTAAGGACTTTTACTGTTTATTATTGTGAATTTTTTTAAGTATGATAATTATCTTATTTTTTTAAATATATTACTCAATTTAGCTCAAATAATACCTTTAAAACGATTGTTTTCTTTAATTAGGAAACTTTTAAATTGAGAATTATGTAGAACAAAAGAATTCGAGGTTTAGATTATATTGCTTGAATAACCAATTAAGCAATATTTATATTTTATTTGTCAATATACTTTAAGAAATTATTTTAAAACAGCTTGTTAATCTCATTAATGTTTTATAAAGGGACATCATCTGCTTATATTGAATGTAAAGATAAAGCTATGATAAATTTTAACCCCTTAGATTTGTTGGAATATGTGAGAAACAAAAAAATATTTTTTTATACTTGAAAACATATATCAGACATTTCTCAAATTCTTTCGCAAATACATATATTTCAATATTTTTAATATTGTATTTATGAAATCATTTGAAACATTTTTCAGTGAATGAAATATTTTATTTCAAATACTTAAGTATTAAATTTTCGGAATATTTTAAGATGTAATATTTATCGGCATTTGTTTAGAAAAGATTTTATCTTTCGCGGGTTAAGAAAAATTAATAAAAAAATCCCAGGAAATTTATATAATTTTCTGAGTTTTCTCAGAAATTGGCTGAAGTAGTTTTCCTGACCTATGAAAAATATATCAACTAAATGTAAAATAAGTTGTATATCTCTGAAAAATTTGAAAAATAAAAACATCAATTTTTACACTTATTATATTATTTTTAAAATTATTACGTTACTGTACGTTATTTTACAGAGCTAAAAAGCAAATTGTGTGGAGTTTAAAAAGAAGAATTATTAAAACGGTGTTGCTAAGATTCGAAGGTCTGTTTGTAAACTGTACGACCTAGAAACAGTCAGATTTAATGAAGATATTCATTGTTTAATTTTGAACAATATATTCTTGAAAAGTCATAAATTTACTACTTTTTTATAAATGATTTTTCTTTTCCAGAAAAAGGAGAATCACCAGGTCTTAGCCCACTGCCGGGCCAATCCCACTTGCCCCACTAGTGGAATACAAATGTTAACAATACAGGCACTCTAGTTAACACTATGGAAAATTTTGAAATACGTACTAGAATTTTATTGAACAAATAGAATACATTTCTAATTTATATGAAAATTCAAAGAGGGTTATGTTATATGTATTTTAACATCTTTTTATAATCATTTTTAAAATGATTATAAAGAGAGGTTAAAATGTATATAACATGCTTTTTTTACTTAAAATACTTTTTTATGCGTTTATCTTTTTATTGTTACATTCAAGAACAAATGTTAATAATTATAAAGTACAAAATGATTCCACAAATGGGGAATTTGCATAATCGTTTGCAATATACCTTGATTCTAAAATGATGTCTTTTTATGAAACAATGTATATTTTATAAAACAATGTTCTTCTTAAAGTCATTTCTACACATTAAAATATATTTCATACACTTTTTGGAAAGTATATTCTTATGTGTTTATTGTTTTTCAATCTTTCCCCTTAAGAATGAATGCTTATCACTGGTAGAAAAAAAAAACTATTTAAAAAAAGAGCAATTTGTAAAAGCTTTGAATACTATTTTAACTTCAGAATATCATTGCCCTAAAACAGCACTTTTTTTCAACAATAGTTACAAAAATATATACGATATTTAAAACATAACTTTAGAGTTTAAGTATAAAGTGGCTGTTAGAGCCACTCAATAAGTTATGCCATGTTTGATGGTTCCACTAAAGCAATTAGTTTGTCGTTAACTGAAAGTGGAACGAAAACTTCCCACGTGACCCAAATTCCAGATAGCAACCAGCTCGAATATTGATTCTCCCGTGTTTACTCCTGTCTCTGATTAACTGCAAAACACAATACAAAGTTAGTTTAGTGACTCGAAATTCTTTAGCTACCATAACATACGCATGACCAAACAAACAAACAAACCAAGATACTAGGTAAATCAAAGTCGCGTTGTGTGCATCTTTTTTTTTTTTTTTTTGCCTTACTTTTTTCCCCCTTACCCGGATGTCTGTTTTTCGTTATCCAAAATATTTGAGTCTACAAGTGCGAAGGAATAACATTTATCTTATATCTCTTTTTTTGGCAACATACCAGAGGCGAAGCTAGATCCTTGTCCACAGAGATTCTAAAAGCAATATTTGTTCGCGTTTGTTGTTTTATGCTCCCTTTAAGCACTCTTGCTGGTAAATGTCAACATATTTAGGAAAACGATGAAGAGGCAGGCTTAACGCATCTCAACTCGATGGAAGACACCAGAAAATGAGTCAGCGACATCAAAGTGAGACGGAGAGTAACGAGGTTATGGTCCGAGATAATGGAAAGCGAGAAAAGCAAAGTGTGATTCGTTAGAGAGAAAAAATTACTAGATAGAACTTTTAGAACTCAACAAGAAAAGATAGCAATTGGATATTAAATCATTTTAATTTATTAAAAAAAATCATTACAGTTTGCAAAGTGTTATCGGATAGGTGCCGGATTATTACTTATACTTTAAGAGTAGATTTACGTATGAATTTCGTGTCTTTAAGAAACAAATAAAACAGGCCAACACAGAAGGCTTTTATTTTTAAAATAAGTTTTGTTATATTTATAATTAATTTTGCACAGTTATCAAAACTATCAACTTTATTTTTAAAGATTCAGTGAAGCTCAATTGCAAAATATGCCATTTTCACAATCCTGCAAAGAATGCAATATTCGTTACCGCTTTGCGTCAATTCATTTTTATGTTTAATTAAAAAGGTCTCTGTTAGGGTGAAAGTTATTTTTTTTTTCTTCAATTTTATACACTGAACTGTTCGGTAGCTAAGTACTGGCCGTTGAGACTCAGTGTATTTGTCAGGATAAAAGAAATGTGGTTATCCATGCTCTAGTGTTTTTTTTTTTTTTTTCAATTACTATTTTCTACACAAAGGATTTTTTTCGACTCAAACAATAATTATTAAAATGTATTTATTTTAAGCAAACGTGTTGCTTTTTAAACGCTCTCGTGTATTTTGTATTCCATGAATGTCTGTAAATCTGCTTTTCCTGATAGTTGTTTTCATAAAACTTGGGAGGAAGAGCAGCGGAGTTTTTTTTTTTTTGTTGAATTTATTAACTTGCAATAAGTTGATAGGATGCTGGAAAGCACATAAATCATAAACGCATATAATCGTTAAAGGAGTTGAATTCTCTTCCTCTGTATCAAATAAATTTTATTTTTAAAAAAAATCCTCTGTATAAAATAAAATTTTAAATAATTACTTTGTGGACATAAAAGCCGTTAGAATTAAATCAAACATTAAAGTCAAAATCACTTAATAAGCAATTAAAACTGATATGAACAGAGTGTTGACCTATTTCGTAAAAAAAATGCCTTAAATAACACAGAACTATGTTCTAAGTAGACATAATGTTCCACAGAATGTGATCGTCTAGAAAAAAAAAATTTTTCTTCCACGGTCTGTGAAACATCAGTTGCATTTTTTTTATCGAATTCCTTACATACAAAGAGCAAGTCAGCTGTCTAAATTGCTTCTTTTTCAACAACAGCGCTGACAGTACCGCTAAAAGCAAAACAAAAGGAAACATAAAAGTAAACAAAAGAGAAGTTGGCAGGGTACTTACCCGGCGACAACAATGAAAAAGTCGAGTCTGTTCCAAGTTTCAGCCAAGTAGGCATTTTTGCCCAATGCTCCCATGGCCGTGATCTTCACTAGCATCTCGAAAGCGAAGAATCCAAAGATGACGTCATCGAAGTACTGAAGGATTTTGCAGCGGTTCGAGTCACAGATCTCGTCTGCGCATGGCCTATACATTCCCAGAGTCACACAGTTGAGCAGTATCACCATCATGCACATGCGCTCGAACCACGTGATCAAGAGGCAGTTAAGGAAAAATCATGAAGTAACATTATACAATTATAATGAAATTCGATCGAATTGCAAAACATTTAGAAAAAAGATTATTCAAAGTTGAACCATATTCTGTACTGTGGACCATATTATTAAACAAATGTATTACAATCATTATTAAATAAACCATCAAGTACATGCACTCGAACCACGTGAACAATAGTATTTAAGGAAAAATCATGATGTTACATTATACAATTTAATCGAATTACAAAATTATTAGAAAAGATTGTTTGAAGTTTAATCATATCATGTACTGTGGACCATATTATTAAGCAAATGCATTACAATCATTATTAAATTAATCCATGTTCCCAATACATTTTTGCAAAGTGTTATAGCAAGTTAAACTATAATATTTTGTAATAATTAAAACATAACATTTTGCATTAATATCATCGAATATGAAATATATAATAAATGAATTAGAATTAAAATCTCTTAAGCGATGGTTTATGATAAACCTTCAATATCGGCACTTTGAAACATATGTATTGCAACCGGTGTTGAATTATGTTTAATTCAAGTTGAACCATATAATTTTGTAATAAAGTATAAAACGCGGTTCAGTTGTAATTTGCTAAGTAAACACAACGAGAGACCATATTATACAATATGGCTTAATGTCAACCAATTTTTTTAACAGTGCATCATACAAATAATAATGACTGATTAAAAAAATAAATGTCGAAGAATTTTTAGATACTTGACTTAGATTAGAAATAACTCAAAAACTTGAAGTTAGAATAGAGTGTAAAAAAATGTGTAGAAAGTACGATAAAAAAATTGGTTCGACAGTTATTTTTCACACTACTAACTATTGTTGTAAAAAATACTATATGGGCTGCTCTACATCCCCGTAGAAATGCAACCTTAGAGTTGAAATTTGATGTGCTGAAAGAGCCATTTTTATTAATGATCTAATCACGAGTTTTTCGCGAAATTCCACTCTGTTCGAAAGCTGTAGCAGTTTTATGTCCCCTTTGTCGCAAATGTTTCCTCCATCTTACCCCTCTTTTAAGTTTATCTCATAAACTCAAGCTTAAGTTAATCCGAAAAGTAAAAAAAAAAAAAAAAAAAGAATTCTGAGAGATTAGATATTGTTGTCGTCGTAGGCCATAGGACACTGGAGGCGATTGTTCTTGTCTTCCAGTGGCGCCATCTGTGACCGAGAATTCGACTTCTGCCATTCATACACCCAATCGTTCATCCACAGATCGTAATTTTGACCTGAACCAGAGAGCGATCAATCTCCAATTCAGTACCCTCAGAGGTATATTTTGTCACGGGAACATGGAGGTCTTTGTGACCCGACATATTTAACGTACACCAGTCACCATTTACTACACAGTGAGTCTTCGTCTGGCTGGATTCGAACTCCTGATCGCCCGAACGTGAGTCCAGCTCCCTACCAACCAGGCTATTCCGGCGCCAGAGATTAGATATTGCCAGACATACATGTTTAGTATTGTAATTTTTTAAAATATAAAAATTTAAATTCAAGAGAGATAAAACCGTTTCCTATTGAACTTTTTAATGATAAAAACCACGCTAATGATTAAAATAACTTCTAAATTACTTCTTCGTATTCAGTCACACATTCAGTTTTACTAAATGTAATTTATTACTAAATGTGACTACTAATTACTAAATGTAACAGTATTACTAAATGTGTACTAAATGTAAGTATGGTTTATTATTTTTCAAGTAATCGCTCATTTCATTACGATTAATGAATTAAGAAATACATAAATTATAACAATTATATATTTCATAAACAAAAAGATATTTATTTTTAGTTGAAATCATCGGTTTTATAGAAAGAAAAGACAAGCAATGATGAACGAAAGGCGATCACGTGATCAGGTGAAGTGAGCGATTATAGTATAGAACCTTCTAGTCATTAAAAAATATATATACATTTATGACCAATAAATATGATCAATAATTATGCCCAATAAATATGACCAATAGATCCTTTTCACTGAAAGTAACTGGTGGACAGTATTATTTAACATTAAAAAAAATATATTTTGTTTGGAAATTAAGCCAATTGTAATTTACACTAAAAAATAAAATAATTATAATATCTAAATTTGCTCGAAATTTTAAAACGAACTCCTGACTTTAACGATTGAAAAAATGCGAAAGAAAGAATAATGTATTTAAAATAGCTTCTTTAATTAAAGAGGATTTAATAAGATTAATTAATCGTTGAGAAAAATTTTTAAAATTACAGGTGCAGACGTTTTACGTAGAAAAAAGCATTTAATAATTTGAAGTTTATAATTAACCATAATAAGCAAAATTTCTTTGCTTTGAATATTTTGACTAAGGATTCTTGAAATTTAATCAATGAAAAATGCGAAGCATTTAATATTCGATAAAAATATTGTCTATTAAAAATTTAAACATGCTTCGCTTATTATGATTAATTATTTTAGAGAATACCGTCGTTTAAACTTTGATGAAGGACGCAGAGGGAAATTTATGTCAAATATTTACTTTAATTGAAAATGGGGCTAAATATTTGAGGTATCCAATTTCGATTTTGTTTTAAAATTGGAGATATCAGTCTGATGAAAGGTTTTTCATAGCGATATATTTTAAGTCAATTAAAAATGATTTTAGAAGAGAAAATTTTTTTTTAAGGAATAAGGAACAATTAATTGAAAATTTAATGAAGGTTTTCAGTTACAGCTTTTCCATTTTCAATTACGGACTTATTTAAAACAATTTCTAAACTTCTGGAATCCAAAATATGTACCGCATGTTCTTTTTTTTCTTCGCTCGTTTAACTGGAACTTATCTTGTAACATTTATTGAATAATGAAAAATGTTCTTTAGATTAATAAGATTAATAATTTATTAATAATAAATTAATAATACTTTAGATTAATAATAAATTAATAAGAGAAATATAAGAGAAAAAGAACTATTGAAATGTTATGAATCACGACTAAGGAAAATGGCACGGAAAATATCAAGACTTATTTTATTGACAAAAAAAAGGGAGAGATTGAAAAAGTGATTATTGAAATACTAATTTTCAGCAGGCAATAAAACTAAATTTTATATTTTCATGCTTTCTTCAATCAGATTTCAAAAGTGTTTTGTGTCTTCCTTGGTTAAATCAGGGGTCTGTTTGGAAGAAATTTGGATTCGTTAACGGACCCTTCACAAAATATCTTTTCATAAAAACGGGCCCTTCACAAAATATTTTAACTTAAAAACGGACCCTTCACAAAATGAATTTTCTTTTATCGGACCCTTCACAAATTTGTTTATCTTCATTTGTATTCCCAGGGCAGAAAACAAGAAAAATGGATGTAAACGAATTAAGTTTTGTCTTCGGCAGACGATTCTTCCATTATTCGTCCGAAATTAATATTCTGCATTCAGCAGTATAGGCTAAATACCAAATATTTGTATGTTGCATCTCTAATTTAGAAGCAGCAATTGCTGTTTATTTTTGAAAATTTAATTTCTTTAATTGTAATTTTGCAGTGCAGACCATAATCTTGTATCTATTTACAATTTAAAAACTAATTGAAAAAGTTTTTTGCAATAACCGAATCCTATTTGCACAAATTCATAAAAGCGGACCCTGGTTGAAAGAATGTGAGTAATTTTTTCACCATTTCACGAAAACCGGACCTTTCACAAAATGTCTGGACAGACCCCTGGTTAAATATTATTTTTTGATCCCTAATATGTTTATATTTTTTCTACAATTTTGCAAGAACTCTCAAATAATACACTGTTTTAAGAAATTAAGAGAATTTGTAGTCTTGGTCAATTACGTCTAGAACTACAGGACCAATTTCAATATGTACATACATGAAACAATACAAGACAAATAACCATTCCACATTTGCAATAGACATGATTGTGCGTAACATTCGTTGGAGTGGAATAAAATTAACCGCATAAAATTAACTAACATTAAAACTGCGGCATAAAATTGCCGCAGGAAATGATAAACTTCCTTATTTCAGTATGAAATCACGCTGCAATGCCTGTAGATCGATAAGAGGGGACCATACCTTCTGTTAACCCTGTTTTTGTTTATTCTGCAATCGCTGTTTCATACCTTCCGACTCCAACAAGTGTTACCCACGATGATGCTTGTGTATAACAATCATTGAATGGTTATTTGTTTTGTATTGCATCAACGTATGTACATAACAAATTTCATTAAAATCGGTCCAGTAGTTCTAGAGATAATCGACCAGGTCTGCAAATTCTCTAAATTTCTTACAACAGTGCATACATTTAACATTTTTATCCGTTTAAACATTTTTATCCGCGAAGTCATGAAGTCATGAAGAATGATGGAAAGTTATGGATTTCGGAAAAGAACAAAATTTGTCATGAAATGTCATGATTTTAACTATTTTTTTATGTGGCTGGGTGGCGCTGTTGGTTTGTCGTCGGCCTTCTGAGCCCAAGTCTGCGGGTTCGATACCCGGCCCAGACACCGGATTCTCGGGATGCAGAAAATCCTCAGCGGCCATGTCGTATGATTATGCGGCATGTAAAAGATCCCTAGAGTGCCTTATTGGCTCTTGGCATTTTCGGCAAAATTAAATTCCTAGTGCACTTTAGCATCCAAAGTAGAGTCTCGGTGCTGCCATCTAGTGCGGCGGAAACTGGACGTCCAAATTAACATGACCAACGGTATCTCTCCCATTGTGGTGGTCCTGAAATAGTGGATACCACCTCTGGAGAGCGCACTAGGTCTGCTCATCGGCAAGACCGATTGTGCAGCTCATTAGAAATATAAAAAAAACTATTTTTTTAAAAAAAATCATGAGAAGTCATGGATTTAGGTCGCCGAGAAATCTAATTTTTAAAATGGAATTTACCCCCCTCCCCCGAATGTCATGGTGTTCCAAATATCTGAATTTGTAACAAAATCCCCTCTCACACTCATATTTGAAAATATAAAATGTTTTG